ACTGCTGTGACAGGGGAAAGGCAAACCTGGGCGTTTTGTTATACACTCACATGAAGACAGCCTGCCACTGACATGTGTTTAAGTGAAACATCCCTTTAATGCAAGTGCTGTCCCTCCACCCTTTGCAGCCTGTTGTGCTTTTTTTAGTGTTTATCCTGCAAGATAGAAAGAGAGAGAGAGAGAGACAGAGAGACAGAGAGACAGAGGGAGATCGAAGGAGGGAGTGACAGAGAGAAGGAGCATGACCGGGGAGTAGAGAGGGAGGAGGTGACAGACCGCTCGTGCTGGATGATCATATTCTATTTTCTTTTTTTCATCTGTCATGCAAACCGTCGCTGACTCTCCCAGTAATAACAGTGTGACTGAGGCAGGTTGGAAGAGCCTCTCATTCAGCGTTCTCCTCTGTCAACCTGCAGGAGCTCTCCTGCTCAGATTATGGTAAGATTCACGTCGCAAAACAGCTCGTGCAAGTGTGTCGACTGCTGGCGTCTCACAATGTCAACACCTCGTTCCTCTGCCATAGCAACCAGATATGTTTTTATGCTTACTATGTGCAGCTGAGAGGGTCTTCAGGACAGGGAGTGCTATTTTTACTCAAATTGCGTTCAGGAGGTAAATAATTCAGTGTTGTGGTGGATGGCATGTTTTCATGATGCAGTGAGTGGGACTGTGCTGTGCTTTATTTGTGAGAATACCCACATATCTCACCTAGATCAGCTGCTTTTTGCTGCACTTTTATGAGCTAAGATTTCAGATGTTTAACGAAGACTGTTCACTGTTTGCTGCTTTGTTCACAGTAAAGCCGGGCACACACTATATGGATTGAGCCTAATTTTAGAGCTGAATGTCTGCCAGATTGGTTGTTGTTTGGCGTGCAGTCACTGGATCACGAAGCCTGATTAACCATCAGATTGATATCTGGCAAAATTCTTGTCAGTTCCATGTTCTGATTTCCATCATATCTGCTGTCAAGAGATCCGCTCCAAACTGCGGTGAGCTTGTTTTAATATCACTGGAGTAGTGTTTCACATGCTGTCGCTCAAACTACATAAGGTTGACACTGCTGTGATATTAAACTGAATTTAGACCATATTGTCTGCATTTTCCAGACATCTGCGGCTCCACTTTTTTCTATTTTTCTTAAAGAATGCACGAAGTAACGCTGCCTGTCCATCTTTATGTCAACATGCAGGATGCAGCCATCTTGTTTTAATAAACTTTATTGCAATTGTCTCTAGACATAACCAAGTGTGATCAGCCAAGTCGTGGCAGGTCAATGATCCGTGCAGTGTGAGCATAAAATTCGCAGGTCTTGCTGACAGAAATGCTGATTTAAAATGTGTATAAGTGTGAGTTAAAAGAACAATAAAATCACACGGTGTCTGCCCAGCTTTAGCTGTGGAAACAGTTTGGGTTTTCTTGGCAGGCTGTTGTCAGGAGTTCATAAATCTCCCTCAAGAGAGGAAGGAGTGCCCTCCGAGGTTGGACATTTCAAATTTTCCTCTACTGTGCCATAAGTTGTTCTCTCTAACTGGGCATTGAAACACTTTATAAAGATGCTTGGTTTAATTGTTTGTGAGTGTTGGGCTTATGTAGATCAAAGCTAGCTATCATGTGTTTCAAAGTGCTATCGCTGCACTTCAAAGAGCACTGTTCTTCTGCCTCTGAGTACATCTCTATCTCAGCTGTGCACTGCTAGAAACCATTCTCTCTGTTGGCATTCACATGGCCTTTATTGAAACCACCAGCTGCAGATTTCTTGCAGCACATTTTGACTGTTGCACTCTGCGTTCAGTATTTTTTTGAGTGCCAGCATCCAGGCTGTGTGTCATTGTTTGCGTGAGAAGGCATCAGTGTAATTTTGGGCTTTGGGTAAGGAACTCCTGGCTTTGCAGGAAAACACTGCATACATCATCACAGCAGCGTGCATGGGTGAGCACGTGACATTTTTCATATAAAGCTCTCATACTTGGGTGGATTGCCACATTGTGCAAAAGCATGGACTTGCATATTTCGACAATTCGGTAATGTATGGAAATGTCATTTGGAAATAGACTTGTTGTGCTTCTGGAGAGAAATGCTGTGACATTTCATCCATAACATTCTTGTGGCAACTCAACAAAGAATGAGCCCAAGAATCTCCCCTAAATCTTTCAGATTTCACCCCAATTTGTCAAAATTTCTCAGATGGTAACTGTGACGTTGGAGTTTTTCCTCCTTAGAAAATATTTCCCATAAACACAGTGGCTGAGAGTCCAGAGGAAATGGAACTCAATTGATTACTAGAGATTACTTGGGTGTATACAGCTAATGCCTGTTTCTCCGCTGAAGACAGGCGCATGGAAAAAAGAGCTTCCATTAGGCAGGAAAATGATGAGACAGACTGACAGGTAAACACTAGAAAAGAGGTCTTCTAGATACAGAGTTCAGAGTTCAGGGGTGATGCAGCATGGAAGAGGGGAAAAGAAAGCAGGGAAGACGAGGCACGTCAGCCTCTTGAGCCAAGATCCCCCCACAGACAGCCTGCCGCTGGCTGGCTCTGATGCTGGTGGCTGTCTGTCTGGGTTTGGGGCTGATAGGATTGGGTGGGGTTTACGCTCACTCCTCTTTCTCCCTCCAGTTGTAGCTGACAGCCATAAAACCATTAAGTCCTCTTTGGTTAATCAGCGGATTACTAACTGAAATAGACATATTTCGGAGGTAAAACATGATTTAAAAAGCTTTCCTTTTCTGCTTCAGGTCTATTTTGTGTATCTAACTGGGTATCTAACCTTTATCTGCTTATGGAACATAAATCCCACTCTGGCAGGTCACAATCTGTGTAATGCCAGTCCATTAACACATAACTGGGTATGATCTATAAATCTAACGTGCTGCTATCGTAATCTCTGAAAAGGCAGATAAGCTGAAGAGCTAATACCAGTTTTGGAGGTTGCACATCAGCCAGCAGGACACAGGATGCGCCTCAGCTCATCGCCTCATTAAAATTTCAAAATGTGAATACTGGCAGTGAACAGCTGCTGATTTATGTGCATTCCCAAATATGCACCATTAGCAAAGGTGTTTGTTTATAGATTACCATAAATTACGGCATCTGTCACACCCTCCTGATAATTTATATTATCTTTTTATTAGTGATGATTTATGGATGATGCAAGCTTTTGTGCCGGGTGATGAACCAGCTGCACTGATCCAGCATTTGTCATCAGCGCCTCTCAGTCACACAATGCATTCTTCATCTCTGATTGGCTTCATACTGTCTGCCTGGAGGATTTCTTGGTGCACTCTATTTATGCTAGCTAGCTGGCTGGTTGGCTGCCTTGGTAACTATGGTAACAGTATCCCCCAGAAAGTTGAAGAGACCAGGGCTTGCTAGGCTAATTGTGAGCAAGTGAAGCGTGTCTGCAAAGTTAGCTGTAGTCCCAGCAGCCTGGACCGCGGCCTGTTCGGGGGATTTTATGCAGCAGCACAATCAAAGCAATTTGCTCAAACATTTCTTTTATGAAGTATTTGTAGCTTATCAGAGGACATTTAATCATCTAGCTACTTGACCTACATACTTATAGAAGAAAACAATGTACATAATTCATGAGAAAAAGGCATAAACTTGGAACTAAATCACCATTACAAACACTTCACTAATAGTGTGCAATTATGTTGCACACTAATTATCATCAATTATCAACCTGCTTTTCAGTGTTTGAATATTTATAATGATAATTACACAGTTACACTATCGATTACCAGAAGATTAATCCAAAAGGAATCGATTCATGGTTTTATTCGTCTTCCCGGCAAAATTGGCAAACATTTCCTGGTTCTTGCTTCTCCGATATCAGGATTTGTTTTTTCTTTATCATTAATGATAGTTGACCGAACATCTTTTTTTTTTTTTTTTTTTTCTTTCATCCAGAGGTCTAAAACCTAGCTTTTTGGATACATCAACTTGGGCTATGGCAGGCATTTGTCACTCTTTTAGCGAAATCCTAAATGACTGAGTTGCTTTTTTTCCACCTGGACCTTTATGCTCTGCCATTTCTCCTCTACTCATCACGCTCTAACCTGTGACAGGCTGTCATGCTACCATAACTGTTACACATTCACATTTATGTTGTTTTTTTGTCGAACTGCAAGCAGCACGTAGGTTTACTTTACCAAAGGTTAATGACAAAATCACTTTATGACACTGATTTCGTGTGGGCATGGCATGAGAGAAAAGTTAGAGAGATCCTGTGCTGTTACCGGCAGAGCCACTGCATGAGTTCCCACTGAGCAGTAACTTGCCAAAAGAGTCCGGGAGAAGTCCAGGGCTTAACGACACCACATTTTATGCTACAATACTGAAGCCGCTCCTCTTTTTCAAGCCACTGCAGAGTTGGTAATAATTTCCCTTTCAGCCATATTTGTTGTTGCTGTGGGTAACAGTATGACGTCAGTTTGTCAATAAGTTGAAATATCGCTAGTATCACGATATGAATTTGTCATATGATGTTAAAAATTGTGCCAGAATTATCGTGAACGAGATGATATGGCACACCCCTATTTCTCACTATTAGTTTAATAGACAAAACAATTAATTGATAATGAAATTAAAGCTTTAAATTATGTCACCTTAACAGCCCTATTTAAACTGCCTCTTCACTGTCTCTGTATTATGCGGGTGACCCACTGCTGGCAGATTTGAAAAGTAGCTGCTTGCAGTTAGCAGCTAACTCAAAAAAGCTGATGCTATTGCGTTACCTGTCATGCTCGTCACGCCTCTTTTGTCTCTGCAATGCCAGCATGCTATGTAAACTCCCACACTGGGGCAGGATGATGTTGCTGTTATTTGTTTGCTTGCAAAAATGCAAAAGCAGTGTAAAAAAAGACTTCGTAGAGGCCCATGATACGATCACTGTGTAAATACGGTTATTGATATCATCTATTCTTGTCTGCCTACAGTAGGTGTTAATGATGAATGATTTATTCTAATCTAACATTGCTTTGTTTCTCTCTTGTAGACTGGTGTTGTGACATTTGCCCTGGGCCTTTCCCTCAACCGTTTCCAACTGTGTGAAGAAAAGTGAAAAGGAGTTTTAATGAATCAGTATTCGCTAGCCGACGCGATGACAGACAAGTAAGCAGTTTATCTTTTTTCCAGAAGTGTGGTTTGTGTATTTGTGTAAAGAGCCCACTGTACTCTGTGGCTCCTTTGTATAGCGTGAAGTAAGAAGATGATGTTGTCCCTGCGATTACACTTCTCTCGCTTTGCACAAGATTGTCTCCTGGAAGTGTTTGTGTGAGTGTGTTTTCAGTGCAGAAGTGGAGGAGAATCGGGGGGTTTTGGCAGCACAGAGAGAAGTGTGTTGTGCTGGGGGGTTGGTATAAAGACAGTCTGTTTTACCCCCGAAGACGTATGACATTTGCATCAGGGCTGATTTGCATTCTCGTTCACTGTGCTGGTATGTTGCTGCTGTTAGTTGGTCTTTATTTCCCTGACAAAACACAGTCATTTAAAAGGTTTGGAGCCTTTGCTGTTCTACCTCTTCCTTTGCTCCTTCTGTGTTCTCCCTTTTATTTCTTTTTTTGTGGATCCTTGTTCCCTCTTTTCATTTTGGACCTGCTCCCTATCTCTTTTCTCTTTTTGTCTCTTTTGTCAACTTTGCCTTTGTCTCCCACTCTGCTGTTTGTTGGATTCGATCTACACAGAGAGGACGGAGAATTTAGGTGCAGTAAGCAAAATAATCTGCTGTCAGCGTTCATAATAAGCGGAATAAGTGGTGTGGGCCAGTCAGCTGAAAGGGATAGGCGCAAAATACACGGCGAAGGCCAAACAAGGCCAGGCCTATTATGTGCTTGAGTTACAGCAAGTGAAAGGGGTAGTTAAAAAGAAAAAAAAAAAAGTTCGGCCAGCACCAAACCTAAGAAACAGGTTGTTTTTAGAATACTGTGATGGATTGTAGTGATAATGGATGCATGTGCAGGGCTTAGTGGAGAGGCAGAGGAGGTTTGTATGCGTACAGGAAAGTATAATGTTGATGTGAATTAGTGTTTGTATGCACTTAGTCAACCTTCAGCATCTCTCCATTTATTACTAATGCACCTGTTTTGAGAAAGAGAGAAAGAAAAGGGGGGAAATCTGGTGAGTCACTCTGACTTTTATGCAGCAGGCCTCAGGGTAGCACCCGCGGCTAACACCAGCACAATATAATGTCAGTATAAAATATTTAAGTTGGTTAGTAGAGCTGGATAATGCTATATTTGCCCAGTGGGGAATTTCTCTTGCAAATTAGAAGGTTGCACCACTTAAGCCATTCCCTTAAGAGCATGCATTGCAATTTTTGCAGAGCCAGACATTTAGGCTTTGGAAATTTTTAAGTGTTTTGGATGCAACATAAAAGGCAAACAAGAAAAAAAAGATGTTCTTGGAAGCTTTATCCTGCAAACAAGATGCAGCAGTATTTTTTAATAAGGCTCTGCTGAACCAAATCAAAGCAAAGTGAAGTGAAGGTTTGGAGTTTCTAAGTAAGTGATGATGTTGTTGACAAGCTGTCCCGTCGGATGAAAGGTATCCGAGCAACCGGAGAGGGGCGAAAGGGGGTGGGGGTGGTAAGTTTATTGTGCGCTTGATGCTAGTCCATGTTGTAGGATGATTGTTTGTGGTGGAAGAATGATAAATGTAACGCCAAAAGGAAGTGAGGGGAAAAGTTGGAGGACGTGCCCCCCGACGGTGATAGCGAACAAAGCCTCCCTCAACATGGGACTACTTAAGATTCATACAAAGGCTGAAGAAGACGGCCTCTTATTTTCTCTCTAACACACACACACACACGTATTCCTCCCGTTTTTCTCTCCAGCTCACTCATGAGCAAACATTTACACATAGCGGGATATCAGTGGACATTCCTGTAGATAATGTGCATTCCAGTCGGTGTTCCCAGATACATGCTAGCCTGCAGACATACCTAGAACAAATGAAATACTTTGAACTCGCAATTTTCCGCCACTTCTAACAAAATGCATATAGAAAGTGAAATGCACAGTCGTCTTCTTTTTTTTTTTTTCTCTCTTCGGTAAAAGAGTTTGCGCCTGTTGTCCATACAGATGTCGCTTTTGATTCAGGAGCTGATAATCCAGCTGCAAATGTGCCCTCGTACCCTCAAAAATGAACATGTTTCAATTGCAGGATTTTAAGTTCAACCTCCTATTGTACCAGGATGCTCCGAGATGAGGAAAGTTTCTAAAGCCAGATTTGCTCCGCAGTGCTTGTAGACAGGGATTCTTTCTGTTGAAATTCAAGCCCGCGTTAATCCTCTTCAACACACTGCTTTTGTGTGTGTATTTGTGTGCGAAAGTACAGAGTCCATGCACCCTCCATCCAGGATTTGGATGAACTGGAATTTCACCCAGTTGTTGTGTTATTTTGCCTCTCTCAAAATGATTTGCTCCAGGGTTCACTGTGTTGCATCATGTTTGAAAGTAGGACAGAAAGACAGTGTCCCAAATGCACAGAGGGAATGTAATCATATGAAAATATTTCACATGGTATATTAAAAAACATGAAAAAAACATTGTTTTTCTGAAATGCATTTGTAAGTGTAAGTTGTGGGTTGCACTGGGTGTCTCTGATCACTGGGGAAAACACAAAAAGGAAAGAAGGATGGAAAAATGCATCGTTCCATAAGCCCCCAAACCATACTCATGTTTCTTTATGTAACGGCTCCATTCTTGTTTTCCATAAGGAGAATCCTCCTCCTACTCATTCCTCCTGGTTCCTCTCTTTGTCCTCTCTCCTCAACCACTGTATGAATTTGCACGCTCGAATATCCTCTCTCATAGCAAACCCTGTTTTCTCTCTCTTCCTCTGTCCCTCTCGTTTTCCTTCCCTCCCCCACCTGTGGTGGTGCACGCTGACAGCCCTGTCAGAGACTTGGGACGTTTATAGATGGACACTAAGGGTGGTTGCATAGATGACTGTGTGTGTGTGTGTCTGTGTGTGTGGTGGGGGGCTTTTACTGGAATGACCACACTGTCATAGAGATGGGAGGCCTTTTCCCAGTCTACTGTATATCTGTTTTCTTTGTGGAGCTATCTGTGTCAATTAAGGCCCCACATATGTGTATTCATGTCAGCCTCAAGGGAGCAAGGATCCAAAACCGCCATCAGAAGCTGGTTAAAAGCTTTTCTACCTGTCAGTAACACAAAGCTGCAACATGTATTCTAGTTAGAAACCTGCTTAACTCCCAAGTGTCTGATCAGAAGTTGCACCCTAGAGACATTTGAAGACTGAATAGTAGGATGTGTTCAGGACACACATTTAACAGACTGCCCTTCTTTGTGCAGTCCACTCTGCAGTTTGACATTTGGTTTGTAGAATAATTTTTGCATTTTTCCTACTTTGCATCAAGCACCTGAATTTAGTTTTTTAAACATGTTCTTAGCTCTTAACTGCATCTCATATAACGATAACTCCACGATGATGTTTAGGGTTAGGTCGGTCCACCACTTCTGATCCAAACTTAAATATCTCCATAACAATTAGATCGATTGCCACATGGGTGATTCCCCTATGAAATGTAATATGTCTGGACAGCTATTGGATGAATTGTCATGAAATCTGATACAACTAAAATATGGTCCGCAGAGGATGAATCCTTATGTTTTTTTCGATGATCCTCTAACTTTTCATCTAGCTCTGCCAGCAGGTCAAAGTCTGTCAAATTTTTTGGTTTATGTCCAGAAACGTGCAAAAGTGACGTTACTGTCTGCATAAGCTGTACTGTGTACTTTCAAGCTGCAGACTTCTACTGGGCATGCGGACGTGCACACAGTTTCATTCATAGTACATTTGAGGGTCCTTGTCCTGATCTACACTCCATTCCAGTTGTCCAGGGCTGTCTTTGTTTTTTTTTAAAGACTAATTATATAAATGTGGGTACTCAAGGATCTCTTCACACAACCTCTCTTCAAAACAAACATCCAACATTTTTTAATCATCTTCTTCTACTTGGAAACCAGCTGGAGGTGCAACTGCCACCAACTGCATTTGAGTGTAGAGCAAGAGATTATATTTTGTAACTGAAGCATGCGCAGTCAGAGCACTTGATATGTATACAATCCACGCAGTCACAAGTAGGGGTCATGTGGGCATGGGCGGGTGACGGCATTTATGTTACACGGACCAAAGCAGAACCTCACAGACAGGGAAACTACGAAGCAGGCTTAAGCCACACTGAGCCACTAGCAAATGTTTAAGAAAAAAAAAAAAAAAAACCAGGAGCCGCTGGTAGCCGAGTGGTTGCAGTGCATGCCACGTGACAGCAACACCCCAAGTTCGCTTCTGGCCTTAGGACCTTTTTGCACGTCATACCCCTCGCTCTCTCCCCCTGTAAAGAAAGAAAAGAAAGCCCATAAAGCAGAACAATGAGTTACAAAAGCTCAAACCGAGACCTTGTATCAGCTCAGGGGAAAATCAGGTGTCACAGTGGAGCGAGCTCAATAGCCCATCCTGGTATGTTTACCAAAGGCTGGGTTTCTGAAGTAGGGCCTTTTAATAAATTTGTTCTGGCTTTAAGAGTCTTCAAAAGGCCAACGTTGCCCAGTCCTCATTCAAGTCCACTCATCAATTAAAAAAACCCAGACCCCTGACATCTCCACTTCCTCTTTGTGCCCTCTCCAGACCGCTGTGTCACCAAGGGCGTGGTTTGGGGGCACTGTTGGGCTCACACCCAGGGCCGACACCCACTCAGACGTCCTGAATTGAGACATGTGAAGGCGTGGTGTCACCGGTGTCATTTGGATTCGTGGGTGCATAGTAAAAAGTCTGTATCAGCTGTCACAGGGTTTTGTGGGAGCCGAGGGAAGCCAAGTCAAAGTGCTTCCTAAGGATGTCGAGGGGGATGCACCCTTTGCCCTACGGCTCATCAATCTTATGCAACTGTCATCTTCTCCCAGTGGTCCACTGATGCTGTCAGAGGAGGGAGAGAGGCTGGGACTTGGTGCGTCGTCGTCATGTTTGTGCTCACTTGCATCCATGTTTTTTTTCTTTGTGTGCGACTGTGCGTGTCTGTGAGTGAGGAAGTGACAGGAGAATGGGAAAGTCTGGAGGAAGATGGAAAAACAAAGGGTGATGCGGTGTGCTTAAAGTGGCTACACACTGCAGCTTTCAAGCATGGCGGTTGACCTTGATCTACAAGAGTAACCATCCTGAAACTGATAGTAACCATGAAACTAATCTGAAGCAATATGCTATTATTTATGGTCAGCTAAAATCAATATTTGATGAAAGAAATAACCAACAAGCGATCCTGATATGGAGAAATATTCCGAACCACAGCCAAGTTATTACAGGATGCTGCGGTCAGTTAATAACATACAGTTATGTCTTGGCTGAATGTGATCTGATGTAAGCGAACAGCCCATGATTGTAGTCTGGTGTGTATCATCTCTGCTTAACATAATCTGATTATTCTTTTATACAGTAGAGCGGGGCTGGTGGGGGCTGCGTTACAGTAGATTACCCCACCCAGCAAATGCTAATGAATCTGCATATTTGGGTTCATTTGGGTGACCTGAATTCAGTTGTCTGGAAGATTTGCCTTGTTCTGGGGTGGTATTTGTTGCTTCGTCAGCAGCATCCATTGTGTCGTATTTAGTCTGTTATTTTGGGATTTTACCAACTTTTTAAAATTCTTCATGTATTGAAAGACAATTTAAAGTGTTTTTTAGGATGTAGAGATAAGGCATTGATTCCCTGTTAAAGAGTACCAGTAGGAATAGACTCAAACTGAACTATAGTCGAGGCAAAGTAAATATGTAAGCCCATGTTTTCCTCTCACACAGAGCTGGATTGTAGGGGACTGTGGGAATAAAGCTTGTGTACTTGTGCAAGGAGAATGTATTCAGCCTTGTTGTAAAGGTTTTCATTTTGCTCAGGGAAGCAGTCTAAGGGAACAGACTGGAAAGTTTTGTGAATGGAGGCTCAACCATCTGTCACAATGGCAATAAGATTTCTACCTTCCCTCCCTTTGACTTATAAAATCTTGTTTTCATGCACTGAAAAGAAAAGCTAAAGAATTTCCCAGCTGACTGTTCTGTTATCGCTGATGCAGATTATTCCCCGAAGTCTTTGTTCTCGTCTCGATTCATTAGTGATGCACAACTCCAGTGCTGATGCTGTACAAAATTTTTAAGGCCCTGAAAGCATTTTTTTTCCCAACAAGCTTCTTTTTGTGAGTGGTGCGGTCTTAGATGAAATTCTGCCAAAGCTAAAACAGTTTTGGTTGGTGGTAATCACACCACACTGACACATTCCTCATGAACCAGATTAGCTGATTTTGTGAGTGTTAAACTCTGAATAGATAATAACTAAAGATCATTTTATCCATTCTGGTTGTGGCTCTAGGGATGGCAATATCAGGCCATCAGTTGGTTGGATATGGTGATCTCTGACATTTCATCTAGCAGCACCAACAGATTAAATCTTTAACTTATCCAGTCAAATTTTTCAACATCTACTACAGAGACAGGCACAACATATGGCACAGACATTCATGGTTCCCAGACAATGAATCTTAATGACTTTCTTGATCCCCCAGACTTTCCCTTTAGTAACACCCTGAGGTTAACATCTGCTCATCTATTCTGGGTGAAATGTCTCGATAGCTAATTGGTTGCTTCCCTCTCAGGATGAATTCTGATAACTTTCAGCCTGATTAAACCTGGTATTAACAAGCGTTTCGGTGGTCTGAACGAGGGATGTCAATGGTCAACCTTTAATCTGTTAGCTGCAGAAAATGTCTTTTACCAGTTACACATACCAGTCTGTAGGTTAATTTTGCCACTCTTCATATTGGTGCACATTCGGCCATTAAGGTTTGTGACACTGTCCTGACCTAACAATGTTACTGTGGAAACATTGTGCCTACCCTCTGGTCTTACCCCAGCTTGCACCACTAGCTAGCTTATGTTAACTCCCTCCCAATCTTGGAGGTGTGCAGTGCAGAGCGGCCAAGACATCAGTGAAGACCGGCGGTTGGGCAGTGGGCGTGTTACCACATGTTAACGCAGCTAGCGGGCTGTCTGTTAGCAAAGCTGACAGAAACCAAAATAAACAACACATGTTTACAACACAAAACATTAAACTGTCATCACCTCTAATTTGATAGTGCTTTTAAATGCAGCCCTAAAGCTCGCTGAGTCAGAGGCATGCCGGTCCAAAGGAGAGGCTTCCTGTATTTCATGTCCATCTTTTTTTTCTTAAAATTTATTGGGTTAGGTACCAGTTGATGGGTGTTGGCCTTTCAAAAGCAAAATTAACCGAAACTGTCATTCCTAATCTGAACACAAGTGGACAGCAGAAACACATGGGCATTCACACCCATGTCTTTCATCTGTCTCCAGCTGACCACTTGGGATCACATTTCGTCACTGCCTGCATCAGTTAGGGTAGAAGGTCAAAGGGCCCTGCGCACAGTTATCATTTCCACACTCTAGGGAGCTGCTCGGTAGTGTGCTTGCCAGTCACTTTAGCAGACCAAAGAGATTTATTTTTGCTTTGGGGGAGTTTAAAGACAAACTTAATGTCAAGTTGTTTGACCCGTCCTGCAAAGTTGTAAGTTGAAATGCATAATGCGACATTTCTCTGCATTCCACTATCAAATTGATAATCTCATAAATTGTGCAACATGTTCTCAGAATAAAAGTTGTGCAGATTTAAGGCTTGGCCCCGACTGACCTCTCTGCATAGGATTAACCCACATAGGGCAGATTGGGCAGTGTTGAAGGCAGGGTGCCTTCATTTTATTTACATCTGGTTGATCCTCAGATGTGGCTGGCCACAGCGAACAGTCAGTCCTCTGTGGTGGATAAAGAAGTGGTAGAGGAAATGAATATAGCAGTCACAGGCCTCGGGTTCCTCTGATCGTATTAGCACAAGATAATGTTTATGGTTTGGCTGCTCACCATTCATTTGTCCTTGGTTATAAAAAGTTAGCACAGTATCCTGACAGACATCATATGATATCACCAGCTTAGCGGTTGGTGGATATTTAAGTCGCTATATAATTGTTTTGTCCTTCCCAGAATGCTTTTATACCTCACTTGTGTATGTGTGTCTGTGTGTATATGTGTGTAGGTGATACTGCTATATGTTTTTGTAAATGTTTTGTTAATGTTTATTGTGCAACATGTGTTTTCATTGATTCATTAGTGTATCTGTCTAACCATGGTCTAGACAACTAACTACACATACACCAACTGCTCTCTCCCTCTTGTAGGCTCGCGCACACACACACACACTTCATGACTGTCTTGTCTGATCTTTCTGTCTTCTCCCCCCCTCCCTAGCTTGAGGATTTTATAATTCTCTCCAGAGGAAGAGCGTCGCATCTTGTAAGGAGCCACAGGTCAGAAACTCTACTCCTCTCCCTCCCTCCCCCCCTTTTGTTGCTGTGCAGTCCAACACTGAGCTGCTCACGGGCCCGCATGCTTCAACACGAACGCTGCATGCTTCTCCAACCCCCCCTCCTCCTCTGTTACCACCTCGGGGCTTTACTCCTGTTTTTATTCCCCCTGCATGACCACACCTGGGCAGTCCGCCTTTGATTTGATTCCGCTTGGCTTTGGTGCTTGTGGAGAAAAAAGTTTGCAGTGATTTTCCTTTTTACCAATCATTTTGTTGTTTGTTCTCACCGTGTGATTTCCTTCCCTCTTTAAGTTATGATCCTCTTGTTTTATATCTGCTTTGAAGCGAGCTGATGGTTTATGTTGTCTTATTCATATGTAATAATGTTCATAGTGACATACACAGTGTACAGTGCAGCTGCCTGCTTCCAGTGGCCTTTTGAACAACCAGCTTTGCTCTGCAATTGACCATTCGCTAAACAGTGCTTGTCCAATCATAGCACCAATCACTAAGCACAGCAGGCCTGTCCAGCATTGAATTTCTTCGAATGCTGACGCAGTGTGAAAGTGGCTTTAAACTGGAGTTTGTACAGTGGTTTCTTTTTTATCGCCTTTCAAAAAACAATGAAAATAATGTTTCAAACAATGTGTCTCCCTACAATGTTAGCATTTACGGCTAACCAGTGCACCTAGCGTGACCTAACATTATTTCCAATGGCAAGGAGCATATTTTTAGCCAAATACGTCATCATGTTGGGTTACACATTATGTTGCAAAAAGCCTTGTATAGGAGCAACACTTTCACCGCGTGGGAGTTGGTGTAACTTTAGCAGCTCTGTCCTGCTCTTAATTCAGTTTGGGGAAGTTTACACTTCAGCTAGGAAATAACTTGTTACCCAAGATAGCCTTGTGTTTCTTAAATAGTGTCCCAAATTGGTTAAGCCTCATCCTAAAAGCCTTTTGCCTCCAAAAGGCTGTGAGGGTGAGATAAAAGTGAAACATATTATATGTCTTTATGTATGTTTTTCTACAATAAGCATCCAAACAGGGTTATAAAAAAGCAAAATAACCTTTTTAATTACTTTTTGGTTATAATACTGCACTATTATACTAGCTCAGCATAGCAATACATGAACATCAGCTGTGAGACTTTTGGAATGACATCATCTATGTAGCCATCATGTGCATATTTAAAGGTATACTATGCAGGATTTTTCTACAAAACGATATATACACTCACACAGAAGTAATCCCTCTCAATCATCACTTATAACCCACTACAAGTGTCTCTGAACCTCTGTATTATATTCCTGTTTTCTGTTCGGAACATTTGTGGGCGTGTACCCCCACAGATTACAGATGAGGTCATGGCTTTATTAATGGGTAACAACCAGGTGCCAGACCATAAGCAGGAGGCATCCAAGAGGCACAACACACACACACACACACACACACACACACACACACACACACAAAAAAAAACCTGCACATATAGTAAGGGTAATCCCCAAACAAGAGTGAATCAAGGGGTTGACTTAAGCTGGTGAGCGTGTTCACAGCCAGTAACCTTTAACCCTTACCCTTTATGACCCTTTTATAAGTTCCTCATTTTGAAAAGATTCAGCTGGAAACAATAAAAAGTTAGCGGGACATAGTGTGTAACTAACAGAGTTAATGATAGTTGATTAGTTAGGCACACTTAATAAAATACACTGGTGACGTACACCAGTTCAGCCAACAAAGTCGATTGTCACTGACTAGAAATTAAGAAACCTGCTTTTATATACCCTTTTGTGAAAACAGGGACCCCTGGCCTCAAAAAACTTTGTATTTCAAGTTGTAAACTGTGTACGTGCAGTGCAAGAATTTACATGACAAACATAGCAACAGTAACTAAGGGAGGAGGGGCCTAGGGGAGGGTCACCTGATGCCAACACTTGTCTCCCAGGGATCAGTGTTGCATCTTCTCTTCAATTACTTTTATGATTAATTTAATGTCTCCAAGATATTTTGCTGATTTTAAGTGACCTAATTTTCTTAAACGCCTTCAGTTATTCATTCATTACCACGAGGACGGAAGTGCGCCCTAAATCTGCCCACCAGATCACGAGAAAAACAGTGTGATAAGTGTTTTTTAAGTTTCAGGCTTGGCTTTGTGTCGTTCATCCCTCTGTGCTGTGAAGGAAATGGTGAAATTAGTGTTTTATCTCTTGGTATGCCAAGTTCACGAGGACACACTGTTAGTGTTGTGGCAGCCTGTGGGTGATGGGGTGAGTTTTCACACAGCACTCCAAAGGAGGTTTTTGTCTCTGCCGGGCCAAAATTACCACCATGAAATCGGTGCCTGCTGAGAGAAAAGCAGAAGAGAAAGGATGCCTCCTTAAAGGCAGAAAGGAGAGGAGGAAAATATAGCAGGGATGTTGGTGATGTTTACAGCCCCTTCAAATGTCTCCTGGCTGGTGGGAAAACCCAGTAACTGTCATTTAAAAGACTGTTTTGTTCTTTCACTGCACCGAAACAATCAGATATTTGCAATGCAGCTAAAGTTGATCAAATACATATATTTTTATTCCAAGTCAGATGATTTGAAACCCAGACCGGGTGATTTATTCCACCCGGGGAGCTGAAGTCACCTGCCCTTGGCTATTGCCGTTTTTTTTATTTATTTATTTATTTTTTTAAAAACTACCACCAATGCGACTACCATTCACCAACTTGTGACCGCAAGGCCTTCAGCTGGGGACCACAAGGCCTTCAGCTGGGCTTTCGCAGCTTCCCAAAATAGTCCCACATTATACGCCCCAAGGCCTTGCTGGCATCACGGTAGCCTCAAGGAAATGACATCAAGTGAAAGGTTTATGACTTAACTGTGAGCTGCGGCTTCCATGTCACCCGGGATATATAATGTGCCAGCGTTCGCCACAAGATAAGTGATAAAAGTTTTTAAAGGCAGCAGTATCACCTACAGTATGTGGGCCCTTGTCCGGCTCAGTTTCTACAGGAAATGCCTTTATTTATCCGTTTACTACTACGTGTGCATTATTGGTGATATTGCCATCTTGCAACAAAGATATTATTGTCATATTGACAAGGAGAAAAGGCTCTTTGTGGGAGAGTAATTGCCTCAGGAAACTGCTTACGTTGCTGCCTGAAAACTGTATTTATCAGTTTGTTTAACAGCTTAAAGGGAAATTTTCAAACCTTTTAAATGCACAAGTGGCGTCTTTTCGAGGTGATCCTCAAAACTGAAGTTTCTTTATTGTTATTTTTGCTGTTGCAGATGTCAATAGTAAAACTCCTCCACTTTCCCCTCTTCTTTTTAATTAAAAGAAAAGGCGCATGGTGATTATGTTTTCATGTCAGACTACAGAGGGACATTGGGTCCTTGGACGGGGAACACCACACAGCAGCCCTTGTTCCTGTAGTTAGCTCACTTCACTTGCCTGTATGTTTATAGGGAAGTTTTTCAGATCTTCCAGAGCCACGTGACTCAGGGAAAGGGCGTGTTGTTTTTAAAAAGCTTGCCATCGGCAGACTAAATATACCCTTTACTGGACCTGACCCCTCATTTGCCTTTGCTGTGGCCACTTTAGGTCGACATGCTAGCTCAGCAGGGGCCCTACAACTAGTAATTATATAGGAGGGTTTCCATTTAACATCCCCTGTGTAGTGTTGCCTTCACACAAGCTCTTTTCCTCAGTTTAGACATTGGGGTTGTCATTGATGGTTTACCTATATTTTAATTCGGCCTACTTTATTTTTTGTAGCAGTTTGCAGCCATCAGAAATGAGCATCATGCTCTCCTTGTCATCATTCAGCTTTAAATGTAGCTGCGAATTAGTGTCGTAGATCATGATGTTAATCCATGATCTAGCTTTTTAAAACTTTTCCTGCCATCTGTCATCCAGCAAGCTCACCATGGATAATGTATGATGACTGCTGCATCAGCTGTTGCAGTTTTTAGATGATTTTTTTTTTTCTCTGTATGACCAGCAGTCAGCTGTGCGGTGGAGGTTATTCAGCTGTTCATTGGCTTTCAGATGACTTTATGTTAACATGATGTGGCTTTGACACGCTGGCTTTGCACTTCACAACTGAAAGCTGATGTCTATCTTCAGTGAATTCCTGATGGTTGGGCCGTGGACCGCAGCTGCAGGTTTAACTGTTGTGTAGATTTATCCAAACAATGGGAGAAATTTAGCAACTATTCTTGAAAGTTGGGGGAAATCCACCGATTTGACACAGCTAAGCCTGCTTGCAGTACTTCTACTACTACATATGTGAAAAAAGTTATATAAAGCCTGTCATTGCTCCAGAAAAAGCTGCAAAAAATTGCCTCAAGTGACTTATGTTCAGCCAACCAATAAGTAATCATCTGTTGCTGTTGAAAACTACAAGTTTGAAAATGGAAAAGAAGTTCAGGGGGTGTGGAGTTGGAAAGAAGTGCGCTTACTAGACCTCTGTAGCTCGCTCCTCATCTCTGCTAAAGGCTAGCGGCTCAAGAATACTTCAGGCACTAACTAGCAAAACACACCTGAATCTCCAACTGAACTACCTGTACTCGAGTTGCATTATGGGCAATGTAGGCACCAAGTTTTGACAAAGAAGATGAAAGCTTGGAATCAAAAGACATTATCCCTGGTTCTGCTGCATCAAATGTTATGCTTTTTCTTTTAAAATGTGCATTGTGAGCTCCACATTGTTAACAGGCAGTGCTGGAGGAAGTATTCAGAACCTTTACTTAAGTAAAAGTACTAATACCACCTGAGAAAATACTCTGCAACAAGTCAAAGTCCTGCATTGAAAATGTTTCTTATGTAAAACTATGTAAGTATAGTCAGGAAAATGTCCAAGGTATTAAAAATAAAAGTACTAAATGCAGAAAAAATGTCCCCTGTGACTGTTATATATATTTCATTATTACTCTCTCATGCATTAATGTAAGAGCAGGATTTGTATGGATTTCTCTGTTGTATTTTTTTTGAAGGTGGAGCTAGATTTA